CTAGGTTCGCCCTAAAATCTTTTCCAAGAACGCTTCCCGAGGCAGCCGCATCGAATCTGAAGCAGATTGGAGCCCAGCCACCGGATCTTCACTGTGCGTCACTTCTCCTCCTCTTGAGCAGTACCAACAACACCGTTCGTCACTTCTAGAATCGTTCTCCATGGATGCAAAGGCCACATCGACAATGACATCCCCGACTTCAACGTTACCGATCTTGTCTCTCTCTCAATTTTCGTTGGTAATTTTTTCGGTGTATCCGACCCGTTACAAACCACCAGAGCCGCCGCCACCAGATCCACATGATCTGGCTGCAACTGCTACCGTATTATGCTCCTCCTGCCCCACAATCCCTCCTCGTCCTCGGCTGAAATCATCTCGAGATCGTATCTTGATGACTTCTTCTTCCCTGCGACGATGGTCCATAAAAATGCATGATGATCCCTCCGGCGACGGCGAGGCCATGTATTACGTACGGTATGCTCCGGTGACATCAACCTCCGAAGAGCTTCTTTGCTTGGGTGAAGTGGGCCTGGTTTCGGCTCCTATTTTGAACATAAATCCGCAACATCCATTGGCGGTATGTTTTTTTTGTACATTTCGCTAAATCACGGAGAAGTAAGATGTTGAATAGATGGTGTTTGGAACCTAGATGGTGCTTAGATGTATTTGCGAAGATCAAGACGATGAAACAAACTATATATGACATGACCATCGGAGAAGTTTGAAGTTATCATCTTTAATTTTCGACTGTTTTCTGGATTGGCCCGTGCATTCGTGTTTACAATTGTTCGGCCAAGTGTTTGTTTCAAAAATGTTATATCTTATAGAATTAATTTCTCCTATGTAAATTTGTGTACTCTGATCTGGCTTCATGATATATCGTTAAAATTGACCCAAACAACAAAAAAGCATTTGCAACAGCCTACAAATATATATTTTTTTTTTGTCGTCCAATATATTTCATTTAAAGGCCCAAAAGCCTTACAAAGTGATTTTGAGAAGCCCAATACAACCCATAAATGAATAAAACAATTGCAAACAGATCTAGGGTTGCCAAACAGTGTCGCCGACACTCATCACCGCCGGACGCCACCACCGCCATAGTCGAAATCTGAGCTGAATTCACAGCAAAACAAAGATCGACGCCTGCTTCAACAAAATCACCAACACACACTCCTCGGAAGAAAACAGATCCAAATGTGCTCTTCAAAGAAGCAACT